ATTATTAAATATAAAAATTCATCTTCACACCAAATTTATAATCTTTGTGCTCAAGGGTTTAAAAGTTATTCGTGTTAACATTGTTACCCCGTTAATCGCTTTACCCCGGTCTCCCCTACATAGAGAAATTTTTTTAAGAGATATATAACATGATATATCAAACTTTAAGATTAATTTATTAAATTCCTAGAATAAAATATAATATAAAAATATATAAAATTATTAAAAGTATGTATTATAATTTTGTTCTAAAAATACCCCTCCCCCTCCTTCCTTGATTTAATATTTTTTTAAAAAAAAAATTTTTCTCTGAAAAAAATAACAATTATTTCTATTCTTCTTTTGAATCCTTTTGCCGGATGGCTGGCATGTTAAAATTTAAGTTTTATTTTTTTTATATTAATAACTTCCGTTTTTTACTTATTTTTTGTTTTTTTTAAACTTCCAATCCAATTCTATTCCCTCCCCTCCCTTTCCTTTTTTATTTCCCAAAAAATTAGATTATTTTAAATAAAAATATTTATTTTTGTTAAAAAATTTTCATATTTATAATTTTATATTTTTTTAAATATTTTCTTATATACAATAAAAATATTAATTTTTTTAAATATTTTCTTATATACAAAATTTTCAATAAAAATATTAATTTTTTTATTTTATGGATGATTCTATTATTTCCATTGGAGAGGTAGACTTTAATAATTTTAACCTTTCAATACTCCGGTGTTTATTATAATTTTCATAAATTTATTTTGTAAAAATTTTAATTTTTTTAATTTATGGATGATTCTATTATTCTGATAATAATTTATAAAATATCCTCCTAATTATATTTTATTTAGGAAATGCTTAATATTTCAGTATTCGGTTCTGACCTTGATAATTTATCTAGATCCATTCGATTGGAGAATTATAATTTTAAAAATAGTTTCCAGACTACACCAAAAAAAACAAGACGTAAATGTAATTTGTGTGATAAACATTATCAGGCTAGTACAGCTACAAGTATATATTGAGTTAATTTATAAATTTATTTTTTTTAGCGAATTTGAAGAAGCACATGCAGACTGTGCACCCGGAAACGATTAATAATAATTTCAAGATGATATACCTGAAACGTTATTTGGAACAAGAAAATTAACGGCTAATGAAAATACGCATATTAATAAATTAATATTGCGATATCTAATTAAACAAAATATATCGTTTAATTCTTTAGATAGCTTATATTTTAAAGATATTTTCAAATATCTAAATAAAAATTGTATTTGGTGCAGGCAAACTGTAACTAAATACCTCAATAATATATACATCTCTGCAAAAAAAACATTATTACCAATCTTCACGAGCTTCGTAGTGAAGTCTCCTTAACAACCGATATTTGGACCGGATTAAATAAAATGACGTTTTGTTCATTAACAATCCACTATATAGATAAAACATGGATGATAACGAATTTATTAGATATTCTTGAATTCCCACACCCCCATGGTGGTCAGGATATTTTTGAAATAATAAAAACAACTTTAGAGGAATATGAAATTATTAGCAAAGTAATAAGCATAACGAATGATAATGGGGCTAATGTTATCCATGGAGTTAATTTATTGATAGAATATATAGAAAAAAATTATAAAAAAAAATGTATAATCACCGATGCTTAGCCCATACTATAAATCTTATCGTGAAATCCGGGCTGGATTATATTTTCCCATCATTAGAAAAAATTGAGGGCTTCGTAAAAAGTATTCACAGAAGCCCCAAATTAATGCAAGGATTCATGAAGATAAGTGGGGGTATTAGAATACCGATGGATGTTGCCACAAGGTGGAACAGCAAGTACATCATGATTACAGCCATTAATAAGGTATTTTTAATTATAACATTTAACATATTTTAATTTTTAATAGAATCTCGAGGCCGTTATCCAGCTAGCTAAAGATTACAGTGGTGATAAAGACTTTAGCTTAAACACCGAGGAATCTAAATTTTTGGTGCTTTTGGAACAATTTTTGTTTCCATTTTATAAAATAACCTGCGAAATAGAGGAGAGCCACAGTAATATCGGTATGGCCATGTTATACATGGATAAAATACAGACTAATTTGGAGTCTGTATGTAGATTTAGTACAAAAATTGTATTAAAAGTGGGGCTACAAAAATGCTGGAAAAATGTAAAAGTTACATTGTAATTATGGAATCATTTCCTAATTACGTTTGCGGTATACTTGATCCAAGGATTAAGAAAAAATATTTGCAGCCGATTTTGAATACATCTGAATATTATGAAAGATTCAAAGATTTATTTATTCAATATAATGATGATAATAATAATTTGGATAGATATAATTTTACTAATGAAGAAAATGAATCTCATTTAATGTCAGTGAATATACTTAATGAATTGCGAACGTACGTAAGTATTTATTAACTTATATATAAATTATATATTCATTTTTAGCTGTGCCCAAGAAGCCGTGAATCCTGCTATGGGGGAAATAGAGGATTATTTATCAGACCCAGTTGCACAGACCACCGAGAATGTTTTGGGATGGTGGTCTCGGTATACTCATCGTTTTCCAAGGTTGTCCAAAATAGCTAAAGATTTTATGGCACAACAAACTACATCCGCATCAAGTGAAAGAACTTTCTCTAGCTGTCGATACAATGACTAAGAAGAGAAATAGGATGTCTTCATCCGTTCTTAAACAGACGCTATCGTTAAATTCGTGGGATGTGAATCTTTTTACTATTACCGATAATATTTGGGAATAAATAATTTATGTATTATACTATTTAAATTGTTTATATAATATTGTTTATATAATATTTTTTACATTATTTATACATATATAAAATTATAATATTCGAAAATATATTAATAAAAAACAAATTATTGCGTCAATTTCAATTGATTTATCATACAATTAAATTATTATGCAGGATTTATATAGGTATAATCTCAGGTAAAAGAAATTTTACTTGAATTCTTATGAGATAAATAATAATGTAAAAAATTTTAAATAAATTTTAAAGTTTGATGCAATATCATGTTATATTATATTATATATCTCTTAAAAAAATTTCTCTATGTAGGGGAGACCTGGGTAAAGCAATTGACGGAGTAACAATGTTAACGCGAATAATTTTTTAACCCTTGAGCACAAAGATTTTAAATTTGGTGTGAAGATGTATTTTTATATCTAATAATTCATACCTATGTTCATCTTTTAAAAAACTTACCTGGTTTTTCTATTTTGTCAAAAAATTGTTTTTTACCCAAAAAATATAAAAATCATTCTCTAGTATATTTTGCTTTTACTAAAATATACATATCCTCAGGATTCAAATTTGGCACATATGTTCCTTAATGTATTTGTTATAAAATAAAATTTATCTGAAATCTATAGAGAAGTCACCACGCAATAACGATGTTTATAATATATGTCACCTTGGGGTAATAAAGCTGTTATGGGTCGGTTAAAATATATAATTACAGTAACACCAAATAATATATTAAACGGATTCTTAGCTTGTGGCATAATATCCCCTAAATAAACCCAAATATATTTACAGATCAAGATTATATCTGCTGTATCTGTTCGAGAACAACGGCGAACCCCGTATATTAGTATGCAAAAATTTGTATCTGTATCTAGATGTATCTTTAAAATTGTATATTTCTGCATCTAGATCCATTTTTAGACGATGTATTTGTATCTGCACCTAGATCCATTTAAAAAATAACTTTTAACAACTCTATTATATATATAAAATAATAGTTTGTATAATTCTTTATAAATTTGATATCTTTTATAAATAATATAATTTTTAATATAAAATCGGCTCGGGAGTCGGCTCTAATGGCTTATTGAGCCGCTCTAGTCTGAGCCGTATTATACGACTATGGCTCGAGTTCAGAGTCGATAAAACTCAACTATTTAACAACACTAGCCTCTCCATCATTTTTTAATTATATTCATGCCCTATTCCTTTCAATCTAAATTCAATTTTCTTTCTTTCTGTCCCACAACCTTTGAGAGCTAAGTTATTCTGCCATCAATCAAAGTATTTTTTCCGATACCATATAAATTATCTGGATTATTATAAACTATATTTTGATGTTTTAATGTTAATCCTCCACTTTCCTCTTCTTATTCAACATATAATTTTTTTTTAAATGTACATATTAAAAAAACAAAAATGTTTCACTCAGAGCATTTAAAAATTTAAATGGTCTTCATATCCTTTAAATCCTACTCAAAAATCAACATTAAATATATGGTTAGCATACAAAAACATTATATATGAACTGCAAAGGTACGTATTTTCAGTTCCCGATCTAAGTTGCTCACTGAGCTGTTGTCAGAAAAGACTAGTGTTGCAAAACGGCTTAATTTGAACCGATTTTTAAAAACGGCTAACTCATATTTTAGCCAGAAAAATAGTGCCTAAACCTCAAGATTTTGCTAAAAGATGTCCAAACTTTTTTTCCATCCATGAACAAAATTTTCAGGCTTGCATAATATGCTTGTTCTCCTTTTTTTAAAAATCGACTCAAATCGAGCGGTTTAAAAACACTAATGACTACAAGGTTAACAGGGTGAAGCATATGCATCAATGTAAATGAACATCGCAACCCTTACAAGTTTCTTAGTTATTAGCAAACCACCCTTCATCCCACAATGTAGATATTTATTATTTACAAAACTAAAAACTTTTTAATGTAAATTTAAAAAAATATATCCTACATTTGAATTATTATGTCAAACGAATTTTTTAAAATATAAATAGTGGTCGAAATACTTAAAATATTATAGAAAATAATGAACTAAAAATTGCAACCATGGGTTGGAATCTGGGAGCTCAGTCTCTCTAGTTATTACGCCCTCCCCAAATATAATGCCAAATGACCTATTTAATTGATTAGTTTACGCTAGATAATTTGGAAAAATCTTAATTAAATTTAGGATATTGGTAGTAAAAATATGATGCAATACCTCCTATCGATAGATCAGTAGTGGGTCTAGTGACTTCCATACGATCGTAGTCGGTGTCACTCAAATATTCGTCATCGGAAGATGCCTGACCATTATCTACGGTTGCGTTTTTGTTAGAACTTTTATGCTTTTTGGGTTTATTTACGACCTTAAAAAGATTAGCAAAAATAGGTAAGAGTTTAAAATATTTAGGTCATTATTGAAATCGGGTTAATTTCACAAAAACATTATCAAATAAATAAAATGAGATAATAATGAAGCAAATTACAAAATTATAATGTTATAAAAATTTATTCTCTCATTTCTTTTCTTTATTTCTAAAAGCGTGTCAATTATTGTGATAAATTTAAGGTCAAAAAAAATTATATTTATAATTAATGTAGACTAAATAGTATTGTAAAAAAAATTTACAGCTTATACATTTTTCGTAACAAAATAATTTTCATAAATTTATGCTCTAATATTTTTTTCATCCTTATATCAATTGATTTTCACAAATAAATTAATAATCTAATATTATTATGTAAACCTATTATTTATTAAATATTTACAAAAAAATAGCAAAATTTCTTAACCTACATATCCTTAAAATTTAAATTTACAACATTTAATGATAATAAATTGAATTTGGGTCAGCAAAAGCAGAAAAATTTATCAATTATTAGTACTAATAATATCAGCATTCAATGGTTTTAATAAAATGTATGATAGAAAATGAACGAATCTAGCAATCCATTTTATAAAATTAAAGGAAAGAAAAAAACCTTTTTAAAATAGGCATATTGAACCATATCCATAGCAGCTTGAGCGTCAATCAATTCAACGTTCTTACTAAGTCTCGCCTTTGCGTGAGCAGTAGATAAACGAATTAAAGTTTCCAAGGTTCTAACTGTTATAGGTTGGGTCTTTATTTTTAATTCGAAGAATCAATATTTATTATAGTTTAAAATTCATAGTAAATTTCCTATTTTTTGTACCCTTGATTTTTTTTATAAAAAAGTAATTTAGATTTGATATATATTTTTAGTAAAATGAAGATAAAATTTAAAAACGAATAAAACTAAGAAATTAATAAAAATTAAATATATTATTATAATACCTTTATTAAAATTTGGGCAACTTTTTATGATTAAAAAAATGTGTCTTAGATAACAGATATAATTTTAAAAAATTTTAAAGGAGTAGCAAAGTATTTATAGTACTTTTCAACCCCGATCATGTACAAGCATAATTTAAAGAATAGTTTGTTTGCAATTATTTGGTATATAAATCAAAGTAAACATTTAAAATCATAAATAAAAACAGTTTAAAGGAATTTTGAACAGCAGTGTCAGCAACTTTTTCCCCCTCCCTCTCAAAGTACTTTAAAATAAGGTTCAATTTCTATTTTGTCCATAACTAAACTGCTTATTAATAAATTTTTTCAAAAAAATATATGAATATTAAAATCTCATTAGGATTCTTTATATCGAAAGCATTAACAAATCTGGAAAACATTAAATACCTTTGCAATATTATCGATCATAACAGAACTCTGAGACCGTAATTTAACGTATTCTTCGGAAATGTAAATCGTTGCTTCTTGCGTCAGTTGGGGTTTCAAGTTTTTGGCAAGATGAATGTACTTTTTCAAGAAATGGGACTTAAGAATACGGTGTTTCCTTATTAATTTAATATAATTAAAATATTTTTTAGAGGTATCTGAATCAAAAAAAAAATTATTTTGAAAATGAAAATATTATCCCGTTTAAAATAAATTTATATTCTTTTGAAAGTAAATAAAAAATTGAAAATAAAATATGAAAATGATCTAAATGAAGATTGGTTCAATATAAATCCAGCTAAAAAAAACATAAATTACATATAATTTGTGCTGTAATCATTATTTATAAATGATATTACCTTTTTTTACACTTTTAAATTATCAAAGATGTGTCTGCTTGTATAAAGTATTTCAGGCCATAAAATGATATGATTTTGAAATCAAGACCTGGTCTGAAAATAAAAAAATTACCAACACCGAGTCAGGCCAGATTTTTCTTAATTTTTTAAAAATTAAATTAACATACAATGTGCATACTTTTTTTTGAAAGCTGCTGTTAAGTTCTTTCTTATAAAAAAAACTATATTTTTGCAAAAATTAAGGTAACTATTATTTAACTATTGACTTTTTCAAATCAAGTAGACTACTAAAGTAACTTACAAATCTATGAAGAAATAATACCTATAATCTGGCCCATGAAGCAATTTGTCATATTTTTCGTAAATCGCATTAGAACCTGAATGCCTCTTATTCCCTCCTACACCATCATCATTGGCATCCATACCATTAGGATTATATTCTTCAGGTTCATCCAGGGAAAATGTGGACAGGAATTGCCTACTGTCCATAGAGTTGAGATTCAAAGGTAAAGCATATCCATCCCTTTCACCTGGCTTTCGGTATTGATGGATCCTAACTATGTGATCTGATATTCGCTGATCTTGTTCAGAGTCCGCCTTCCAATTTAAAAAAGAAGGTTTTAAGTTAAAGTTTACTTGCCCCTTTTCAAAAAATTATTAAAACAAGGTATAGTGCCATATATATCTTTAAAAGGTCTCTTATAATTGATAATTAAAATAACTTTTTAAGGTGTTGAGATTATTAATAGATTTTTACAGACATTTTGTTTGAGTTCGATTTCAAAAATTAAAGAAAAAAATGCAATATTTCGATATGACAGTTAGCAATGTTGTTCAGTCATGTCATATATTCATGGTGAATCAAGCAATCACTCTATTGATGACTAAGGCAAACACAACAACAAAACTTAGGACCATTAGAAAATGGGAATTAATGGGCAGCCTGGACCAACAATAAGGAATTAATGGGCAGCCTGGACCAACAATAAAAAAAAGGCAAATATACCAATTGTAAAATCGAATAAAAATCTAATTTTTTTTTGGAATTTTTTGGTCATCCAAAATTTATCTCTTTTTAGTGTTGTTAATTTGCTAGGTCGTAAAATTTACGACCCAATTTGGTGCTCAGGCTTGCTCTGAGCACGAACCTGGAGCACAGACCCGTGGTTTAGACTCGGGGTATAATGTTATTCCAAATTAAATAAAAATTATTTACCAAAAGTATACAAACAGCAAAATGCAATGGCATTTTCTGGGGTAAGACAGTAAAGTCCTGCAAGCAACTCAGCTTAGAGTTAAACCACCTATGCTTAGAAATAGCAAAAAAATAGGATTAAACTTATTATGTTGGTTAGCCAAACGATTATTTCCAGCTATACCATCCTAGTTCCGAATTAGATACGAACTTTCTGGCCGGATTTGCTTAATTTCATCGCTATTTTTAAACACGTTTTGATTTTTTTTCTAATTTTAGAAATGTATTTTAGACAAGTACATTTGATAACAATAGTTCCTAAATTCAACAAGATTGAGCTTGAATGGGATATTTAGAATGCTTTTGAATCGTTTTTACCTGGGGGGGGGGGGGGAAGGGGTTATAAACAAGCGTCTTTTTGTTCTGCCTATTAATTTAACCTCTATCTTTTTAAGAATAACCTTGCAAGGTCAGAGCGATATTTTTCAGCTAAAAAGCTTGATATAGCCGATTTTTTAGCCGATTAAAAATATACTTGGTTTGAAGAAGTTTAAAATTAAAATCGTCGTAAAATAAAAAAATAATTATTATAAGTTTTAATTTAAGGTAAATTTTTTTAAAAATAATAATGTTTTTCTCAACATTTTTTTTCAAATTTTTAAAAGTAAATGTATTATTTTAATTATTTTTGTAAACAAAATATATTATCTGAATGGGTTTTATTTTTAATTTAATCGTCAACATGTTTCATTAAATCATCACAACACTGAAAAATAATAATTAATAAACCTAACTTCAAAAATATAAAAAAAACGGAAATTTTATTTTTAATAATTCTTTTTTAAAATTATAATGAAAGTTAAATTTAATAAAAAAATATTTTTTTAATAAAAAATTTTCTATATAATTAACTAAAATAATAATTAGTAAACAACTTCAAAAATATATTAAAAAACGCATGATTATTGTTGAGAATAATTATGGTAAAGTTTAAAAAATAATATGTTAAGAGATAATTGTCGATATTATAATTAAGTAATTTTGTAAAGTTTTAGTAGATGTCCTATAAATCCCATAAAATTTTTGAAGAGGGTTAACTATTCATAGTCTGGAAGAGAAAAAATGGCTAGGTCAAATTGACTCCAATCAAAAGCACCCCAATTTAAACAATATTTAAATGGTTAGAAAATGAGATTGATGTAGAATAAAATTTTAAAAAAGCTTTAATTTATAATTAGTGTATAATAAGATTTAAGATTTTTTTTTAGTTTTTGTTTATCTAAACCCCAGCTCTAAACCACGGGTCTGGACACAGGATCTGTGCTCGTGGTTCGTGCTCAGAGCTGGTTTAGTCGATTTTTAGACCCAAACCCCGGGTCGGTTTTACACAACCAACCAATTAACAACGCCAATCTTGTTTGTTTAAATTGTAAAGAAAAAAAACTCGGACATCATTTTAATAAAAAATTTTAATGTAATTTTATAAAAAGCAAAATATATTTTTTTCAAAAATAAATTCACCCAGACTTTTTATAAGGGATCTAGATAATTATACATATAGTTTATCTAGATTATTTAAAAATTCTGAATGAGGCATATATTAAAAATATCTTCTTGTTTTATCATTTAAAGTTGTTTAAGCTTTATATTCCCATCTAAAAAAAATATTAATTATAAAATCCTAAAACCCACTTTGATTAATAAATAGGGAAATTTAAGATATCTTACAAAATTAAATTGTTACCTGATCTAACAATATAAACACCAAGTCAAAACGGGATAACAAGGAGTCCTGCATACCGATATTTTCCATAGGAGTTTTGTATTGATCATACTTTAATATTACAATTTGGCATTGTTTATTAGTAAATTAAATAGTAATAATAAAATCTTAAATTATACTAAAAATTTATAGGAAAATAAAACATAAAACTAAAGCTAAACAAAATGTTTTTTCATAAATATTTGGCGCCATTTAAAAACAAACGCCAATATAAAGTGAAACTTCCAAAGATGACCACTCAAGGGGTTAAAGTTTTAGTCAACATAGAGTAGTGAGAAGAGACAAGTATAAGGTAAATGGTCATCTTTTGAGGTTATGAATTTGTCATTAATGGTGTATTTGTGCATCGGTTACTGTTATAATTTATTTTATACCCTTTTCAAAAAAGATTTTTTTCAAAAAATAAGTCGTGTTTAAAATTTGTCAAGAGTTAATAAAAACCCAATTAGGAAAAACAGATATTTTCTTTTCAATAAAAAATGAAAGTGAAATATTATCAGTATCTTTATAAATTATGGAAATGGTTATTATATTTTTCGGAGGAAAAAATTAAAAATATCTTATGCATAGAAAGGGAAATGGAGTAAAATTGGGAATTAGATGATCTTTTCACTTTTAACCTATAAAATATTTTAAGATGACAAAAAAATTGTTTCTCAAAAAATAAACCCTAGAATAGACTGGGTTGGCAGCAGCCAGTACAGAACACCTAGCATTAAGCGTGGCACGTATTCCAGCTTTAGCCACAGTGACCTTGCCTTGCTCCATAACTTCGTGAAAAGCAGCCCTATCTGAGTCCGCCATCTTGTCAAATTCGTCGACGCAGACGATCCCTCTGTCCGCCAAAACGCACGCACCAGCTTCTAAACGACGCGAATCCTCCCCACCACCATCTCCGCCAACCACGACAGAAGCTGTAAGACCTACTCCAGAAGAACCGCGACCAGTAGTTGATATAGCACGAGGAGCCGTTTTCCAGACATACCTTGTGTCAGTATTTTTCAAAAAAATTAAAGATGTTTAATTTATTATGTCTAATCTTTATATAAAATATAGTTTGACAAATCTTAATTTTTAAATTTATAACTTCGCAATTGTATTAAGATCAATATTAAAGGCGTTTTTAATGCAGGAAATCCACTCTTAATATTACAATATGGTTTAACAATATGATTATTTAAAAGTGAACTTTATGAATAAGGTGGAATTATAAATAATTAAATATAACCTTTATAAATGATATATAAACATTGAAGAAGAACCTTAATATCTGTGATTTTGCTACAGACGGATCCCCTATCAATAAAATGTTAATATCGCCTCTAAGCCTGGTACCATTTTGCAGAATTTTTTCTACGCCTCCCAATAACATGCAAAGTACGGCTTTTTTAACATATTCTAAACCGTGTATAGATGGAGCTAATGAACGAGCTAATATTTCGAAAACATCTCTCTATAAAAAAATGCATTTACAGTTGAGATTTGATTGTGATAAAAATGATCTATATAATTATAAAAATAAATAAATATTTAAAAAAGTATGTTTTAATTTTAATTTCATTCTTTTTTATTTCTATAACTCTTTTAAAATATTATATTTCGCAAAATTTATTTATTATTTAAAATCACAAGTAAAAAAGGAAAATTTTGGTTAAGCAAAATCAAAAAAAAAATGTCATTTCTGATCGAAAAAAACAAACAAAATAAGGTTATTTTTCTAAAAACAGAATTCAAATGCAGAAAGAAAAGTGTAAATTTTTTGGTTTCTAATACAGAATAATTATGTAAAAAAATGAATAATTTTTTTAACGCCTTCTACATAATAAATAGTTATTATTATGGGATAAAAATTCAAACCGATCTTTGTTCACTGAAACGTTTTATAGAGGATACATCGGTACCAGATACCGTAGGGGAAATCTCTTTGCTGAGTTCCAAGATGTTATTGGAAAGTAGAATAGTTCTGAAGGTAGCCGTTGTATAGCCTTCCTTTTTGGCAGGTAAGCATTTGTAAAGACCGACTATTTGAACCCGGTCCCCAGGCTTAGTATGTTTACATTTTTTTTAAATTATAAAAAATTGAGTAAATTTATACTATATTATATATATTTCCCATAAAATTGTATAAACATATAGAAGAGTATCGCAAGTGAAATTCTAAGAAAGAAGGAAAATTTTTTATCTGCAGTTATTATCTGGGTTGGCAAGTTGATCAATTGACCAGATAAAATTAAAAATATGTTTAAAAAGAGAAAAACGATATAAATATATGTGATCACAATGTTGCTAATTTTTTGGGTCCCTAATATCAAGAGGAGCATTTCACTAGCAGTGAACTTAATGAAGTATGTGATATAATACAAGAAAATTTAAGGTGAAATAATTAATTTCAAAAGTATAAACGGCATGTTCAATAGTTAATTATGTGGAAAACAGTAATTTCCATAAAAAACAATTTATTCCAACCTAAAGTTAGTCGAATAAAATTTGTTAACCATGCGCATTAAGAGACTAACAATTCCTAGTTCTACTTTTTCTTTAGAAAGAAATAGGTCATTTGGGATATTCTTACAAAAAGAAAATGATAATAGTGAATATGAATCAGAACAAGACTCTGCTATGGAGAACTAAAGATTAGTTATTGAATGACAATGAATTTAAAAATAATAATAGATTCATTTTACTATTATATTAAAAATAAAGTTAATATTGACTCAAATAAACATTTATTTGAATTTGTCAAATATCGGTCAATTGACCAAAATGTATTTGACCCGTCAAATGCACAACCCTGCTTATTATTGTAAATGTTAATTATTTATTACAAGTTGTCTAATTTAAGTATCAATTTCAACAATTATTTATTTATGATTACTAAATTAAGCCTTGACAAAAAGAGAAATGGTTTAATTGGAACATTTTTCAAACCATTGGACAGGATATGTAAAAATTTCAAACACATATATCACTTCTCAATCTAGTCCTTTCAATTTTAATAAAATTTTGAATAATGATAAATTAAAAACATTAATTACAAAATTTTATTGTTACCAATAGGCCATGAGATATAAGATCAAATGCCAAATTTACTATTTTTCTAAATGAGTGATTTTTTAAAATTGAGATATATAATGATGAAAATAAAATCTACATTCATTTCCTAACTCTACAACCAAAAGTCATTTTATGAAATATTGAGGGAAATTATTTAAAAACAAATGCAATTTTTATTTACAATATAATGAGACATATAAATTTCAGTGTTGATGAAAAAAAATATCAATTTTTCTTAAAGGGATAGGACCATAAAACGACACCAAGTTTTATTTTTAGTAATTGTGTTTGAGTTTATTTCAATTTAAAAAATCCCATATTTTGAATAAGATTTTGACAAATATCATAGGAATTATTGGTATTCAGAGGAAACTTTAGATTTACTCAATGTACATAATTTTTAAAATTGAAAAAGCCAAGTTAAAAAGTAATTACTAGGTTGATGTACATAGCTCACTCATATATTTATGAGGCCTTTATATCTCATAATTTTGTAGTACCTTACAAATATCAATCAAGTCATCATCACAGCTGATATCCAGTGATCTAGGTAATTGTCCTGGTGGAGCTTTTTCAGGTAACTCTTGTAGTGTTATTGATTGGTGGTCTTTGTAAGTTGAAAGTCCAAATTCAGTCTCTAATAAATTACCATCCTCATCCTTGTAAATAGTAAGTTTATAAAATTTAGGCAAACCAAATGTTTCTGATTTTGTTAATTTAAAAGATTTCCTTATTGCAAGTTAAGACAAAAAAAATTAAGCTTAAATTTGTGATGAATTACTAAAAAGGTGGTCAAACCCAAAAGGGGAGGTTCATACATAAAGGTAATGTTGTCAAAATATCTAATGAAATAAAATATTGTTATTGATAAAAAATATTATCAAGAAAAATCTTGGAAAAAATATATAAGGCCTCATTTATAATAAGCACAAAATACTACAATAAATTTACACATTGTTTGAGCATCATTGCATTGCTATATTTATGCTTATTATAAACAAGGCCAAAATATCATCAAAATAATTTTAATATTTTTATCAACTAAAAGATATTTTGAATTTAAAAAAAAAGGATTTTAAATTAGAAATTATGATATTAAAATAATATATAATCACTAATTTTAAAAAATATTAACTAATAATTTATATTTTCAAACATATATATAATTAAATTGTTGCTAGAAATATAAATATTAAATTTCCACATAATTTTTAAGAAATATAAAGAAGTAAATTTTATGTCTTTTACTTTATCTTATTTATTTAATTTTCTCTCACTTTAAATAATGTAAATATATAAAATTAAACTTCAACTTGATTATCAATAATTTAATATTTAAAAACTTTGGTTGGGTAAACACCAACTGAAGGTTGAGAATCTAGGGATGATAAATCATAATATTTCCTGTCAATTGTTTTTCCAGTAACAGGGCAATAATGAACACTTCTAACAACTTTTGGTTTTATCAGGGAGCCTTAAATAAAAAAGTAAAAATATAAGTTATTTCAATATATATTACATCTTGTGACAATGCCTTCAATACATATAATTTGACCCAAAAATTCTGAGGTTAATGTTCTAGGTGTTACATGGCTTTTACCAAAACTAAAAAATATATATAAATAGTATTTTAGATAATTTATATTCTACTTATTCGAATATTATTGTAAAAAAAAAGTTAAATATAAAAAAAATTTAAACCTTCCTTCTAATCCTATATAAAATTCTTCATAAGATTTTGCATATTTGGGATCCTTTTCCATTACAATGTCCTTTAAAGCTCTCTGGAAGGCAATTAATTCCAAACTAGCTTTCTGAATGAGGCTAAAACAATTTATAATCAAAATTAATATGGTTAACTTAAGAGCTCTTTCTGCATTCCAAGATCTAAGATCATTTATATTCACAATTAATCTAACTCCTTCAGCTTTAATCATTGAATTGATTTTATCATTATATGTGGAATCTCTTTGCTATAAATCTTTTATAAAAATGAATAAAAAATATTAGTACCTCATCATCTAAGAAATCTGAATATATTCTCTGTGAAATTCGTAACGATTGTTCATCGAGTGCCATAATTTAAAAATTTAGCGGGGCAAAATAAATGGATGTAGTGATGAACATATGTCATATTGGCTAAACATTACCCGGTTTTAAATAAATTTTTAAAAAATATTATTTAGTAAACAACACTATTATTTAATATAGTCAACATAACAAATTTTGTTGGACAAAATATTTTACTGGTCAAGATGTTAATATACTTAAACGAGAGAGATATTTAAATCCTGGAAAAACATGTCATTTTTTGCCCTGATACTAGACGTAAAGTTCGCAATAATAGCAAACATATATCAGACAAATCTTTTTACTTTAATTGTATTCTCATCTACTTAGGGGATATCGTATGATATTGACTTACCAGTGCCTTTCCGACATTAATCCACATATGAACTTCATTTCAATTAATATCATAAGCAAAGCATTCTTCGGCATGCATATGCTGCCTCTTTTTATTAATAAAATATATTAAGATAATTTATTTGAATGAACGTAAAAATAAAGCATTTGTCAAAAAATAAATATATTCCCGTTCAAAATTTATCTTAAATAATAAGAACACCATCAATTTGAACTAATTTGTTTATAATATTATTTCGAATGACATTTTTTATCTATGAAGAAATAACCCATTTAATGTAATCTTCGTTGATACGTTTTGTATCTGTTCCATTACATGTACAGAAATTCATTTAGATAATATTTTCAATTTATAAGAAGTATTTTTTATAAAATCTTATTTTAAAATTAAGTAGTTATCATTAGATCTACCTATTTTGATGCAAATCCAGATTTGCTAAAACTTGCTATTTCTAGCTCTTCTAGCCCTAATATCCTCTGTTATATGAGTTAATAATTATAGCAGTTCCCCAGTTGATTAAATATTGTTATTTATCAAATAATTGATTATTAATTTTTTCATTTTCGTGCTTTAATTTTTTTAACGTGTATTATTTATTTGCTAGTTTTTAAAAATTACTTATTGAAGATCTGAAATTGAAATGGCTAGACATTGCTGTCACTGACCTATATATCATCAAAAATAATTCATCTACCTATTTGCCAACATGAAAATGTTTGGTCAGATTCCTATCGAGTTTTGAATTTAATTTCTATGAAAAGGATAGATTATTATAATTATACATTATATTATTACGATGTAATTAATTATCTATATAGGCCATTTTTTGATGAGTAATATGCTATTCTGGCCAGCTGTCGCCCTATGTTTATACTGGAATTGTTCTCATCAATAATCTTTCATTTATTTAATTAATGTATAGAAAAATAAAATGTTGGATATTTTGCAATTTAATTCTCTTTTAGTTACCAATTATTGTCGTATATAGCTTGGAGTTAGCAAGTAAACATACATTTTACCAGAGATTCCTATACATGTGCTAAAACTCCGAATTAAGCTTAATCACGAGGGAAACAGTAATTTTAATAAAATTTGAAATAATACTTTTATCTGAAATCAGAAAATACCCAAAAAGTCTTGTGGTGAAAATGTTACCAAGAATAGTTTTTGATCAATATTTTTTGAACATGAACCTCTACTTCTGTATAAATATATGGTATATAGTATGTATTATATATACATCTTTTGACAAAATACTTTCAGCTATAAAAACCATAAGTGACTGGTGTTAGACTTTTTACCCTAAACCTTACCTTTCTTCAAGAATTATGTATGGTTCAGTTTTATATCTTTACACCTTTCCAAATACATCGTCTACTTCTTACAATATATTTCAAATGGAAACTCTAAGTTTGTTAAATAAACTAGGTTACTAATAAAGATTAAAAGTAAACCTTACATTTCTTCCGAAATTATGTTTGGTTCAGTTTTATATCTTTTCTTTTACACCTTTCTAAATACATCGTCTACTTTTTACAATATATTTCAAATGGAAACTCTAAGCTTGTTAAATAAACTAGGTTACTATAAAGATTAATAATATTTAGCCGCAATAATAATTATCGAAGATTAAAACGCGTATGTGAATCTAAAATATGCTATGAAGTATAATATGTTTTTAAAAGTTTAGGAAAGTTGTTATTTTTAGAAATAAAGAAATTAAAAAAAAATAATTAGTAATTTTTTCGAAAATTTGTGAGCGCAATTTGCCTCAATATATCTTTTAAGTAGATAATGGGCAAATTTTTAAGTGAGTAGACCTAAAAAAAATTGGAGGATACTGTATCGGTAAATATCCGCTTATGGTAATAAAGAAATTCTTTAATTAAGATGAAAAATTTTAATATTGTAAAATCATTTATTTTTTATATTTAATCTCTAGTAAAAATTAATCGCTATCAATGATCGTCAAAGAAAAAATTATTTTTCAACAAGCAAATGATTTCATTTGATTGCCATATATTATAAAAAAAAGTAATAGATAAATGTAAAATATGGCCGGAGGAAGTGATAACACTTATTTTAATGAAATATTTTTGAAAGATTTAATGTTTATTTTATTTATTTAGATAAAAATAAAACTACTAACTAAAGTGCTGAGATTTTATAGCGAACATTTTATTATTTTTTAGTTTATTTGAAAATTTGACTTACAAAAAATTGTTAAAATAATACATTTATATATTCTTATCCATTTTTAAGTTAAATAATTTTATTTACAAACAAATTAAAAAATATAGAAATGTTTTCCATTAAATCTGCACAACACTATTACAGATAAAATAATCTTCGCACCGGAAAGGGTTAAGACGCAGACTATGGTCTTACCTTTTTTAAAAATTGTCTTAATTAGAAAGAAGATAAACATTAAATAAAATTAATTTCGAGTCCCACTGCAACTGAATTGAATAAAATTTATAGGACAATTAAAATATAAAAGAATATATTTCTTTCATAAATATTTTAAAATAAGTAGTATTAGGTCAGATTCACTTTTTTAAAGCTGTCATTAAATCACTATAAATGTTAAAAGTGAGAATTTTAATTCCTATCTTTTAACATTGAAAGCGTTTTGAAAGCTGGGTTCAGCGTCTACATGACAGGATTTTCACTGGATGCAAACCCCCTTCAAAAACCTTTGCCTACCCCCAAAAAAAATTTTCTAAAGGATTTTTTTTTAGATAATAAATTCATTTAAATCCTCCATTATTTACAATGAATTTATTATTATAAATTTATGAGCTTGCTGAAATAACTAAATTGCAGAAAGTTTTATTTGGAAAACAATATGTATAATTGTTTGCAATATATAGATTTAATCGATGATTTGTATTATAAAAGTTCTATAATAAAAGTATTAATTTTTACAGGAATAAATTTAGTCCTATTTCTTCTCAAAATTCAATAGATAAACCCCCCAAAAATTAATCCTACCCCCATTAAAGCCGCCTACCCCTACCCCCTCAAAAAAATAGGATTAAACTGTTCCTACCCCTCCCGCTCATGTAGACGCTGGCTGGGTTAAGGAAGTGAAGATATTATGGTTTATGATTTGTAGATGCCAGAGTTGTTCAAGTAACGTGATACTATAACGCGATATCTTATTTAGTAGCGATAGCTAATAGTGTGCTACTTTTTTTCCCAATTATTTATTTTTTAGCGCGCTACTTTTTTTGAAAGTAATCTCAATATAAATTTAAATATCCTCAAATTTTCTCTAGTCATCCATCAATTATTAAAATAAATAATAATTTTTAACGGCTTTTATTAAAAAAATTTATTTATATGTTTATTTTTTTATAGTTTGCGTTCTTTCCCTTTTCTATAAAATAAAATAAAGCTACTTAGCTATTTTCAAAATGAATGTAACTATAAATATGAAAATTTAAATATAATATCATAATTAATTATAATTTTTATGATTTATTATTTAATTTATATAATTTATTATTTAATTTGAAATTTGTATTTTCAATTTGTAATTTATATTTCCATTTTTGTATTATAAACCTAAATCATCTGGTATAAATTATTCAAAATGTCATCGCAAATATATATCGAAATCAATGTAATTGGTCAGACAATGATAATATTTATGAAGTGGAAGGTACCCTAAATGTTCTTGATAACAATAATATAAATTTTTTATTTCCAAGATTTCAAAAATATTTTCAAATCAATGTAAAAACAAAAGGTGACTACAAACTATTTGCTTAAAATGTAGAAAAAATTAATCCACAAATAAATCTAGTATCCTCAAAAAAACACCTAATGGTAATTGTCATTTTTAAGTTTTAATAGTATTTTACTTTGTAAGAATGTTCACGCCAACAGTTTTAAAGAGATATAAAAGCATCTTAAATATTTTGGTATAAGGAAAACTACACCCAAAAAGACCAATTCAATTCAATTTAAACTAAATTGATTAATATTGCACACGTTAATATTTCTCAGAAAATGGCTGATAAAGTCATTGTCGATTTTATAATTGATACAGCCATGTAATTGGTTGATAATCCATCATTTACAATGATGATTAAAACTCTATCCCCTGGTACAACAATTTTTTGTGGCTAGCCATTAATGATTAAGATATTAAATAACTTTAAAGTGATGAAAGATGCTCTAATCGATGATGCTAAAGATCAACGTGATACTTATGGTAAGGCTTAAGAGTATAATATCAAACAAAGATGCCCTAGTTAGAATCACATAAACGACTTCCACTGATAACATTTTTGAAATAAAGGATACTAATATGATAATTATACACTATAAAAAAAACTCTAACCGTTATTGTGTATATGCTATATAAAAAACTCTACCAGTAGTACAACGCCATTTTATAACACACTCAATTTACCCAACACAACTCTAACACTAAAATTAATAAATTTTCGTCTTCAAATTTTATTGATTATATATCCTTAAAAAAAACTAAAAGTCATCATAATAATAAAATCTAGTCCCTTTTATACTTTCTGGAGATCACGAGTTTTACACGTGTATAAAATCAGGCGACTATTTATAAATTTGATAATATTAAACAAAATAATTTTTAAAAATAAATAATAATAATATGACAAATATGACA